TTAATTTGAAAATTTCCGATTTCATCTTCATTCTGTACACACGTGTGTTTAAAATTTTCTCGAAATATAGTTTTTGGGTGATAAAACCAAATTTTTCTGGTTTGACGCAAGCACATATTTCGCGATCTTTAGCTTTAGGATAAACTAATCAGAATGGTTTACATCTAAAGAAATTGTTGAAGGAAACTGATACTCTAGCAAGTGTTACAGAAAAGACTACTAATAGGTGTACGCACTCATATATTATATATTTATTTCTTATTTACACCTATATTTATAAACATAAAATAATTTATTCACCTTGTTTAACTAACTAAGGGATATCAACTAAAATGCTTGTCACAAAATTGTGTTAAATTCTTAAAAAAAAATAATTAATAACTGTATACACTTCAACAAATTAAATAAAAAATATTATACTTATGACTGCAGAAACAATATTTTTCCAGCAGTCAGTAAAGATCATAAATCTTTGCTGGGGACAGTCACGGATTGGACATTTACTACATTTTAAGGTAATTTTAATACATTTTCAATACCTCATTGGGAGATTTTTTCCTATTACTTTTACAAAACTTTCGATCGATATTTTCCTTTATTAAAATAATTACCTATATGATGATAGTTTTAGAAAATAATTTTTTGAATGAAAAGGATTGCTATTTCTCAAAACAATAATTATTGAGTTGTCTCCTTTTGCACTCCCACGAGCTGTCCTATAGCATGTATATATTTGATTTGCAAAAAATTTAAGTTCGAATATAATTCATATTGCAATTTAGGGAGTTATTCTGCAGTTGCAACTGCCATGACATTGCCAAATGTCAGCTTTACCTCAAATGTCAAAATTCGCTTGATCCACTGTCAAAATCTAGTAGGCGAAAATATCACAAATTGGATAAAAATGTAGATAAATATGTACCTATATTAACATGTGAATTTACATGTGAAACTTTTTGTCTTTAAAGGTTTTCAATATTTTTTAAATTATTTGAACTTTATGGTAAAATTTATTTCCTGCTTTTAGGTGAAGTATAAATAAAAGAAACAAAATATTTATAAAGGTTTAGAAAGAGAGAACAGACCAAGTATACTTCACAAACATGTAGATATTTTAATCTAAAAGGTTGCTTGGGTTAGACTTACCGTTTAAATAATGCAAAATGAACAAAAGAAGAATTAATCTAATAATATTTAATATTGTATAAAAGGTTTAATTTGCACCTAAAATCCGCCTATTTATTACCTGTATCATATGATAAGATATCTTACCAAAAACATAAGTTGTTATTATTTCAAAATAATATTATACCTATATTTAAAACAGGATTAAAAATTGTATTTGTTTTTAAAATTATATAAAAATAGGTAGTATTTTCTAACTATTAAAGCCAAAATTAAAGAAACGATATTTAGTTATTAACTTGATGTTATCATGGCACCTACTAACGAAAACAACCGTAAAAGAAAAAGAACCACATCCAACAACGAAACAACTTCTAAAAAAAGAACAACAACCTTAAATTCCTCGATAAGAGTGGGAAATGAGTACCAAGCCGAAATACCAGAGTTTCAAAAAACACAATTAAGTAAGAATACGGAAGAAAAATCCTCACGAGTTTGGTTACCCACAGAAGATTCAATCGAATTAGATGAATACATAGATTTTGCCAAGACAAAGCATAATTATAGCGAAGAACAAGCTTTGGCAATGGCGTTTTTTCATCGTTATGATTATGAAAAAGCCAAACAAGATTTGGCCAACTACGCTCCAGTTTTGGAAGAATGGACCGAGAAGGACAAAGCTGATTTTAAAAGGGGCCTTAAGTTGTATAGAGGTAATTTTAAGAAGATACAGAAAATGTTGCCGCATAAAAAAATAGGGTCCTTTGCTAAGTTCTTTTTCACTTCTCAAGTGAAATATTTGTAGATAATTTTAAATATTTGTATTGCAAGTACTATTATAATATCAATAAATATTTATAAACCTATTTATTCTTACTTTGTGTTATGATGTTATGCGTGGGGAGTAAATCAGTAAAGGCGTTATACCTAAACGTAAATAATTAATATCAAAATTTAAATCGTAATTTAAACCTACTTTGACCTACCAAAACTGATTTAAAACCTGTTCAGTCTGTTTACTCCAATTTAGCACTAGAACAACCGAATTAATCTTAATAATTAAATTATTTGAACCGATTTAAACCTCTAATAAAATTTTGGGTTTAAATTTAAACGTAATTAGAACCGAAAAATCGGGAAAATGGACTTATCTGCCATGTTTTAGGTCATAAGTTGGTTATCTTTAGGCGAATATAAAACCGTTTAAGACGGAAATTGTCAGACTTAAGGTTTAAATTACGATCTTAATTTTGACTCGGGATTAATTTGTAAAAGTGTATAGGGTTATTAACTAATTTTTGTTTAAAAAGAACCTAAAACATTAAAATTTTTAGTTGTCCACAAAAGAAGCTTGATGAATTATTTTGATAAAATTTAATATTGACAATTTTACATGGAGATTGACCTCAAAATGTTCGGGATACAAATGCTTCTGACGATAATTATTAGTGGTTGCTTTTTCGCTACGACAATTATTCATTTTTGACTAATTCATTTTTAGAGAGCAGGTTCACATAACTTTATGTTAAGTTTACAACCAACTGTAATCTGTTAACTATATAAATAAGTAGTTTGTAATTATAACAAACATTTTGTAGATTTAATAACAAAATCCTATCAATGATTCAACCATAAAATTAGTAAGTTTCAAAAAGGACCTTATTATTACAACCCTTTTCGTAAATCAATTAACAAAAGTTAATAATTAATACATACCTACATAAATAAACACAAAAACAACCTAAACAAAATTAAATAACACACCATTCTGAAATTATCAAATTATAAAGATGTATTTCGTAACTTTAACCCACTTCACAGTATCCCCTAATTTTAATTTGAAATCCAGTGATGGCAGCTTTTTTCATATACTTCACACTCGTTAAATGGGTTTTTTCAAAAAGTTGGTCAAATAGGAATTTTATTAAAAAAATTATAATTATTATAAATTAGATATATTACATATGATTTCTATAGAATATTAATCAAGTATTAAATATTTTATGCTTGTCATACATGATACGAACTAGATTGTATTTTTTACGAATTTTCATTGTAGGAAGAATAACTGTTGTCTTTTCCGTGACGCCAAAATAAAGGGCATTCCCGAGTCAAAATTTAAATCGTAATTTAAACCTACTTTGACCTACCAAAACTGATTTAAATCCTGTTCAGTCTGTTTAATCCAATTTAGCACTAGAACAACCGAATTAATCTTCATTTGAACCGATTTAAACCGATTTAAACCTCTAATAAAATTTTTGGTTTAAATTTAAACGTAATTAGAACCGAAAAATCGGGAAAATGGACTTATCTGCCATGTTTTAGGTCAAAATTAAGATCGTAATTTAAACCTTAAGTCTGACAATTTCCATCTTAAACGGTTTTATATTCGCCTAAAGATAACCAACTTATGACCTAAAACATGGCAGATAAGTCCATTTTCTCGATTTTTCGGTTCTAATTACGTCTAAATTTAAACCAAAAATTTTATTAGAGGCTTAAATCGGGTTAAATAAGTTCAAATTAAGATTAATTCGGTTGTTCTAGTGCTAAATTGGAGTAAAAAGACTGAACAGGTTTTAAATCAGTTTTGGTAGGTCAAAGTAGGTTTAAATTACGATTTAAATTTTGACTCGGGATATGAACTAAAATGCTTGTCACAAAAATGTGTTAAATTCTTTAAAAAAAATAATTAATAACTGTATACACTTCAACAAATTAAATAAAAAATATTATACTTATGACTGCAGAAACAATATTTTTCCAGCAGTCAGTAAAGATCATAAATCTTTGCTGGGGACAGTCACGGATTGGACATTTACTACATTTTAAGGTAATTATAATACATTTTCAATACCTCTTTGGGAGATTTTTTCCTATTACTTTTACAAAACTTTCGATCGATATTTTCCTTTGTTAAAATAATTACCTATATGATGCTAGTTTTAGAAAATAAGTTTTTTGAATGAAAAGGATTGCTATTTCTCAAAACAATAATTATAATTATTGTTTTGAGAAATAGCAATCCAATAGCAATAATTATTGAGGAGTTGTCTCCTTTTGCACTCCCACGAGCTGTGCTATAGCATAAATATATTTGATTTGCAAAAATTTTAAAAAGTTCAAATGTAATTCATATTGCAATTTAGGAAGTTATTCTGGAGTTGCAACTGCCATGACATTGCCAAATGTCAGCTTTACCTCAAATGTCAAAATTCGCTTGATCCACTGTCAAAATCTAGTAGGCGAAAATATCACAAATTGGATAAAAATGTAGATAAATGTGTACCTATATTAACATGTGAATTTACATGTGAAACTTTTTGTCTTTAAAGGTTTTCAATATTCTTTAAATTATTTGAACTTTATGGTAAAATTTATTTCCTGCTTTTAGGTGAAGTATAAATTAAAGAAACAAAATATTTATAAAGGTTTAGATAGAGAGAACAGACCAAGTATACTTCACAAACATGTAGTTATAAGTCTAACCCAAGCAGCCTTTTAGATTAAAATATATTTTAATCTAAAAGGCTGCTTGGGTTAGACTTACCGATAAAAAATGAGGATGAAAGCGAACAAATCTATACAGTTTAAATAATGCAAAATGAACAAAAGAAGAATTAACTTAATAAAATTTAATATTTAATATTGTATAAAAGGTTTAATTTGCACCTAAAATCCGCCTATTTATTACCTGATGTCATCTTACCAAAAACAGTAGTTGTTATTATTTCAAAATAATATTATACCTATATTTAAAACAGGATTAAAAATTGTATTTGTTTTTAAAATTATTTAAAAATAGGTAGTAGTTTCTAACTATTAAAGCCAAAATTAAAGAAACGATATTTAGTTATTAACTTGATGTTATCATGGCACCTACTAACGAAAACAACCGTAAAAGAAAAAGAACCACATCCAACAACGAAACAACTTCTAAAAAAAGAACAACAACCTTAAATTCCTCGATAAGAGTGGGAAATGAGTACCAAGCCGAAATACCAGAGATTCAAAAAACACAATTAAGTAAGAATACGGAAGAAAAATCCTCACGAGTTTGGTTACCCACAGAAGATTCAATCGAATTGGATGAATACATAGATTTTGCCAAGACAAAGCATAATTATAGCGAAGAACAAGCTTTGGCAATGGCGTTTTTTCATCGTTATGATTATGAAAAAGCTAAGCAAGATTTGGCCAACTACGCTCCAGTTTTGGAAGAATGGACCAAGAAGGACATAGCTGATTTTAGAAGGGGCCTTAAGTTGTATAGAGGTAATTTTAAGAAAATACAGAAAATGTTGCCGCATAAAAAAATAGGGTCCATTGCTAGGTTCTTTTTCAATTCACAAGTAAAATATTTGTAGATCATTTTAAATATATTTCTTGCTAGTACTATTATAATATTAATAAATATTTATAAACCTATTTATTCTTACTTTGTGTTATGATGTTACGCGTAGGGAGTAAATCAGCAAAGGCGTAATACCTAAACGTAAATAATTAATATTAATTTGTAAACGTGTATAGAGTTATTAACTAATTTTTGTTTAAAAAGAACCTAAAACATTAAAATGTTTAGTTGTCCACAAAAGAAGCTTGATGAATTATTTTGATAAAATTTAATATTGACAATTTTACATGGAGATTGACCTCAAAATGTTCGAGATACAAATTGCTTCTGACGATAATTATTAGTGGCTGCTTTTTCGCTATGACAATTATTCATTTTTGACTAATTCATTTTTAGAGAGCAGGTTCACATAACTTTATGTTAAGTTTACAACCAACTGTAATCTGTTAACTATATAAATAAGTAGTTTCACGAGTCAAAATTAAGATCGTAATTTAAACCTTAAGACTGACAATAGGATAAAAACGAACAAATCTATACAGTTTAATGGATACATAGATTTTGCCAAGACAAAGCATAATTATAGCGAAGAACAAGCTTTGGCAATGGCGTTTTTTCATCGTTATGATTATGAAAAAGCTAAGCAAGATTTGGCCAACTACGCTCCAGTTTTGGAAGAATGGACCAAGAAGGACATAGCTGATTTTAGAAGGGGCCTTAAGTTGTATAGAGGTAATTTTAAGAAAATACAGAAAATGTTGCCACATAAAAAATAGGGTCCATTGCTAGGTTCTTTTTCAATTCACAAGTAAAATATTTGTAGATCATTTTAAATATATTTCTTGCTAGTACTATTATAATATTAATAAATATTTATAAACCTATTTATTCTTACTTTGTGTTATGATGTTACGCGTGGGGAGTAAATCAGCAAAGGCGTTAACCTAAACGTAAATAATTAATATTAATTTGTAAAAGTGTATAGAGTTATTAACTAATTTTTGTTTTAAAAAGAACCTAAAACATTAAAATTTTTAGTTGTCCTGTAAGTGTGGATTCACAATGGACATAACCATAAAAGATACATAATGAAATCATAAATCATAACCATAAAATTTACATAAAACCCAAAGAGAGTTCACAATGACCATAAAAATTGACATGTTGTGCATGTCAAACTAATGTCATTTTAATTTAATTAAAATTAAAATTTGTGAATTGTGTTTTTAAAATGAGTGAGACTGAAGAATTTGTTATTATTGTTACTACTAAGACGACGATGCCAAGATCGCCAAGATAGGGTAAAACCAAAACGAACAAGACGCTGGTGGGTTCGTCCTATAAATAGAGATAGAGAAAAAAAGGGTTTCGAAGACTAATTATTGAAATGCGACTTCATGACACTGAATGGTTTTTTACTTATACTAGAATGACAGCCTCATTATTTGAGGAATTGATAAAACTAGTGTCCCCTAAATTGATTAAACAGAGCGTTCAAGTCAACGGTTGGCCATTACATTGAGGTTGTTTACCTACTTTTAAATAAATAAATAACGTATTTATTATAATAAATACGTTATTTATATATAAGGATTATAATCCTTATGTAAATACATACAATAATCCTTATCCCAGACTGCAATGAAGGTTCGAAAATATTCCAGGAATATTCCCTATCGCCTAGGAATAATCCGCTTTATTCTAGGAATATTCATTGGGAATATTCCTAGAATGATCCTCTAAAACTTCCAAGCATCATCTAAGAATATTCCCAGTGAATATTCATTAGTTTAGTTGCAATACCTCTCACCGTTGCTTACGCACCCTTGATAACTATATATACCGATAGGTTAATAATATCAGTTGGAGATGTGCGTCTGTGATGGCACAGCCAAACAATGATTAGAGTGGGGCTGATCTACTCAGTAACTCAATAATGGCTATACTTAAGTTAAGTTCCTGGGTATAAGAGGCAATAAGGGCTGGGAATAATCCCCAAATTATATCAAGGAATATTCCCCTAACAATCCTTGAGTCTTCTGCAGGCAGATACATGGAATATTCTTTTTATGATGCCTGGATTAACCAAAAAGCGGACATTTGATTATGCCAGGAATATTCTGGGATGCTTGGAATATTCCTGGGAATATTTCTGACATGTGCAGGGAATGTGATTTTGCGGTCTGGGATGTAAATACATACAATGTAAGGTTACAACATAAGATTAAATGGCCAATGTGCTTAATTTTGAATTGATATTAAACAATTTAATTTTAAATAGATAATATCAATTTGATATTAAACAATAATAATGGCAATGGTAATGCTTTTTAATTTTAGTATAGAATGGTAAAAAAAGAAAAAAAAGAAGTTAGTCTAAAACGGATTTGAATAGTTAAAGTAATGTCTTTTCGAGATGTTTGAATTTCTGTTCTTTTGGGTGTCTTGTACCTACTTTTATTATAATAAAAAACTAAAATAATAATTTGGCTTTATCTTAGGTATTTGTCTACCGGTGACTCAACCTTTTCCATAGCAAATGGTTACTATATAGGCACCGCAAGAGTTGCCAATATAAAAACATAACAAATTAAAAGTCACCGAATTTTCCCAAAAAATTACATAAATATTTCATAAAGTTAAATTATTTGAACTTTATGTGATTTTTACGGTACTCCATAATTTTTACATAAGAGTCACATAAACGCAAGAGTTGCCAATATAAAAACATAACAAATTAAAAGTCACCGAATTTTCCCAAAAAGTTACATAAATATTTCATAAAGTTAAATTATTTGAACTTTATGTGATTTTTACGGTACTCCATAATTTTTACATAAGAGTCACATAAACGTAAAGATTACGTACTATGCACATTGTGAACGCTTCTTATGTATTTTTTTTATGTATTTCTTATGTTTTTTTTATGGTTACGTCCATTGTGAACAAGCACTAATTTAAAATGTCCAATCTGTGACGCCATTTTCACACAATATAATATTCACAAATCGGCAACGCTTTCTCAACAAGGTAAAATATCCATTGTAGTTTGTAGTACCTGTCAAAGTTAAACAAGATTAGAAAATTATTTTATGTTTATAGGCGTAAATAAGAAATAATTAATTTATATATCGATGACTTCCTGCCAAAGTATCGCAAGCAACATAACTCAAATTTTGGGAATTGAAAACAATTTTGTTTTAAAGTCTGTTTTAAACCAAATATAACCTACAGGTTTTATAACAAGTAAATAGCTATAATTATAAGCTAAGTAATTACTTATTATAAAACCTTTAGGCTATATTTAATTTAAAACAGACAAGAAAAATGTTTTCAATTTCCGAAATTTGGGTTATGTTACTTGCGATACTTTGGCAAAAAGTCATCGATATGAGTTAAAAGAAGTTTTCAAATTAATCTTAAAAAAGAAGATTCTGGTATTTTAAAACAGTGGAAAATAATCATCTAAGAAAGGATAATTAAAAATGTAAATAAAAAAATTAAATTAATATTTGTAATGCCCTTTATTTTGGCGTCACGAAAAAGAAAACATTTATTCTTCCTTCAATGAAAATTTGTAAAAAATAAAATCTAGTTCGTATCATATATGACAAGCATAACATTTTGATTAATATTCTATAGAAACAATTTGTTATTTAACTAATTTAAATTAATTATAATTTTTTTGGCCAATTTTTATCGTTTAAATAATGCAAAATGAACAAAAGAAGCTTGATGAATTATTTTGATAAAATTTAATATTGACAATTTTACATGGAAATTGACTGCAAAATGTTCGAGATACAAATTGCTTCTGACGATAATTATTAGTGGCTGCTTTTTCGCTAAGACAATTATTCATTTTTAGAGAGCAGGTTCACATAACTTTATGTTAGGTTTACAACCAACTGTAATCTGTTAACTATGTATATAAATAAGTAGGTAGTTTGTAATTATAAAAAACATTTTGTAGATTTAATAACAAAATCCAGTCAATAATTCAACCATAATTCTTGTAAATTTCAAAAAGGACCTTATTGTTTTAACCCTTTTCGTAAATCCATTAACAAAAGTTAATAATTAATACATACCTACATAAATAAACACAAAAACAACCTAAACAAAATTAAATAACACACCATTCTGAAATCATCAAATTATAAAGATGTATTTCGTAACTTTAACCCACTTCACAGTATCCCCAAATTTTAGCTTGAAAACCAGTGATTGCATCTTTTTTCATATACTTCGCACTCGTTAAATGGGTATAAGGGTATTTTTCAAAAAGTTGGCCAAATAGGAATTTTATTAAAAAAATTATAATTATTATAAATTAGATATATTACATATTATTTCTATAGAATATTAATCAAGTATTGAATATTTCATGCTTGTCATACATGATACGAACTAGATTGTATTTTTTTACGAATTTTCGTTGTAGGAAGAATAAATGTTGTCTTTTCCGTGACGCCAAAATAAAGGGCATTACAAATATTAATTTAATTTTTTTATTTACATTTTTTATTATCCTTTCTTCCATGATTATTTTCTAATGTTTTATCAATCAAAATATCAGTCTCTTCTTCTTTTTTAAGATTAATTTGAAAATTTCCGATTTCATCTTCATTCTGTGTGTTTAAAATTTTCTCGAAATATATTTTTTGGGTGATAAAACCAAATTTTTCATGTTTGACGCAAGCACATGTTTTGCGATCTTTAGCTTTAGGATAAACTAATCAGAATGGTTTATATCTAAATATTCTATTGTGTGAAAATGGCGTCACGGATTGGACATTTTCAATTAAGGGACATCAACTAAAATGCTTGTCACAAAAATGTGTTAAGTTCTTTTTTAAACAAAAATTAATTAATAACTGTATACACTTCTACAAATTAAATAAAAAATATTATACTTATGACTGCAGAAACAATATTTTTCCAGCAGTCAGTAAAGATCATAAATCTTTGCTGGGGACAGTCACGGATTGGATATTTACTACATTTCAAGGTTATTTTAATACATTTTTAATACCTTATTGGGAGATTTTTTCTTATTACCTTTACAAAACTTTCGATCGATATTTTCCTTTGTTAAAATAATTACCTATATGATGATAGTCAGGGCCGGCCCGACGTTTTTTGCCGCCTCGGGCGAAGATATTTTTGCCGCCCCCATTTTATTCAGCAGGAATAGGAAAAAAGTAGTTTAACGTAATTATTTTTTTCAAATTTATTAATTTTTTATAAGAGTTTTCTATGCTTTAGAATTACTAGGTAAGGCAATATACTATTAAATATATACACATAATTGCATCACTTGTCAATGATTATATCCTATATATTATTATATAGTGTAAATAGTCACTATTATAGTGAGTATAATTAAACAATATTTTTAAATTACAAGAATTCTTTGGTTTGTTAAAATTTACTTTCGCAATATTCCGCAATAGCTCAGATTATTACTTACATAATTGCTGTTAAAATATCGTATTTTTAATGTAAAAGTATACAGACCGAGTGCACCCGAACATTTTAACTAACTTACTTCAGGTGAATCATCTTTAAAAGTAAATTAACTCAATCATTACGTAATGAAACATTTAATTTTCTTAGTTTCTTTAAGAAACTTTCTTGACCCATTACTGGTAATATTCATAGGTTCATTTTTTTATTAGGTAATGAGTTTAACGGACTTTGACAAAACTTTCGGCTGCTGTGATGCACGTCAGATCATTGATTTAAGACCTCTAAAAACAATGTTTAGATGTAC